GTCATGTTGGCCAGACTGGTCTCGAACTCCTGACCTCAGGTGATCCGCCTGCCTCAGCCTCCCAAAATGCTGGGATTATAGGTGTGAGCCACTGCACCTGGCCAATTTTCCTTCTTTCTTTCTATTTTGAATATGTATTTGTTTTTTAGAGACAAGGGCTCATTTTGCTGCCCAGGCTGGAGCACAGTGATACAATCGTAGCTTACTGTAGCCTCAACCTCCCCAGCTCAAGTGATCCTCCCACTTTAGCCATCCAAGTAGCTAGGACTATAGGTGTGCACCACCAGCCCACCTAATTTAAAAAACTTGTTTTGTAGAGACAGGGTCTCGTTTTGTTGTCTAGGCTGGTCTCAAATTCCTGGCTTCAAGCAATCTTCTCACCTTGACCTCCCAAAGTGCTGGGATTACAGGTGAGCACCCCTGCGACGGCCCAAGGTAAGTATTTTCTATAAACTTATCAAATTTCCTCCTTTAGCTGTGGTATATCATCAGTTTTTTTCATATCTGGGCTAACAATATCTCCAAAATGGAATAGCCTTCATCTTCCTTTGGGTATGAGGATAAAACAAGAGATTCTTTAAAGCAGTTTTTTTTTTTTAAGACGGAGTCTTGCTCTTGTGGCCCAGGCTGGAGTGCAATGGCATGATCTCGGCTCACCATAACTTCTGCCTCCCGGGTTCAAGCAATTCTCCTGCTTCAGCCTCCCAGGTAGCTGGGGTTATAGGCGCACGCCACCACACCCAGCTAATTTTCTATTTTTAGTAGAGACGGGGTTTCTCCATGTTGGTCAGGTTGGTCTGGAACTCCCAACCTCAGGTGATCCGCCCACCTCGGCCTCCCAAAGTGCTGGGATTACAGGCGTGAACCACCGTGCCCGGTTTTGAAAGCAGTTTTAACTGGAAAAAGATTAAAAAGTAAAGAGCCATTTTCAACCTTTTATGTAGATATAAGTTATAAGCATCGAAGTATGAAGACATCCAATGCTTAATCAATGACTGAAGCCTCAGTTTTATAGCTTTTGAGCTATAACCAATGAGACAATAACCAGCAAGAACAATTTTGAGCAATTATTTCCTCTTGTAGATTAGCATACCTTTTGTAAAGAAATATGCTCTGGTACCATCTCCTCGAACATAAAAATTTTCAGATAAACAATGTCCTGAAAAATATGTGAAAAGAGAAACTTTTAAAGGCATTCCTTTAAAAAAAAAACCAAATACTTTGATGTGAAATATAAACAAGGCATTCTTTAGAACACTTAAAAACAATCTCAAACTGATATACTATTACCCTTTTTAAAACGAAGCTGAGTCTTATCATATCTTCCATAGTCTCGAAATAACAGTATTCCCCCAGGTTTCAGTAAGTTGGAGAGTCGGTTTACAACATCCTGCATCCTTTGAAAACAAAGTATTAAAAAGATACCCAGTTTGTGGAAATCTTGTTTTACATGCTGGATTTAACTTTGTTGAAGACAAAATAAGTAAAGCTTAATAAGGCCAAAGAAATTTAATCCATAAACGTAAGGGTAACAAAAACACAAGTATTTTGTAAAGAAGGAGAAAAGAATACCAACTTGTTAGATGACTAGATTCAAAAGTCCTAGAGTATCAAGAAATAACCCAAATGTCCAGAATGGTAACTTCACAGAGCTTGATGTATGATGTCAAAGTTAAACTTCAAAACCACAGACGTTTCCTGGTACTTACAGCAAATTAAGGTAGTTCTGAGATAGACAAAAACTGAGTGTGCTTCATTTTCCTTGCGAGATAAAAAATATGCCAAAGCATCTCAAGTTGTACATATGTTGGTTTTTTTTTTTTTTGAGATGGGGTTTCGCTCTGTCACCCAGGCTGGAGTGCAATGGCATTATCTTGACTCATTGCAACCTCTGCCTCCTGGGTTCAAGAGATTCTCCTGCCTCAGCCTCCTGAGTAGCTGAGATTACAGGCCTGTGCCACCACATCCAGCTAATTTTTGTATGTTTAATAGAGATGGGGTTGTTGGTGAGGCTGGTCTCGAACTCCTGACCTCATGATCCACATACCTCGGCCTCCCAAAGTGCTGGGATTACAGGTGTGAGCCGCCGCTCCTGGCCCTACATATCTAGAGAGGGAATATCTTTCTTCCAAAACGAGATTGTTCTTTTGACTTTATTTAGTTCAGAGGTACCATCATTCACCTCATGAAACAGGAATTATTTTTCTCCTATCCTTTCCATGTGGCCATAAAATTCTATGTCCTCTTTTATTTTTATTTTTAATGACATCTTTGATATTTCCTGTCTTTTTTGTTTCCCATTGGTACTCCCTTAGTACCAACCCCTATCTCCTTAGGCCTGGAAACAAATCCGCTTCCTAACATGCTATATTATTCTCCCTGTCAATCCCTCCTGCATGTTATCAATGAATAATTCTGCTTAAAATGATAATTTTGTCAAATCATCTCCTTGCTTAAAAACTTCCATGATTTTTTTTTAATCCATAGGATAATATTTTAATTTCTTAGTTGAGTTCTTAAGATATCTAATGACCCCAATTAATCTTTTCAACAGTTTTCCAATCTGAAGCAGCTCCCCTAGCCAAACTGTCATGCTTGGCTTTGAGCAGCCTCTGCCTTTGCTCACATGGTTTCCCCTCAAAGAATTCTCTCCTCCTTACTCTCTATTTAAATTTTATTCACATTCCAAGTCCTAACTCAACTGCGGGGAGGCTTTGCTTTTCTCCTTTACTGTTTATTCTACTTATCTGGCTTCCAGTCAAACATAACCCCTTATAGCTGCTCCTGATTTAGTGTTTTTGGCTAAATGTTCATGGCCTTATGTGTGACTATGGGCCAGGGATGGCACAGATTTCAGATCTCATATTAATGCTGAGTGACAGCACTGGCTGCCTGCAGAGCTCTGAGAAGGACTCATAAAGCTCAATGGGAGTTACAGAGTACAAAATCGATTATCAATGTCTGTAATGGGCAGAGAATGATAAATGGCAGCTTCTGTGCTAAGTCCTTGTTGTCTCTGCTTCGTTTAAACTACTTAAAGCTGCTGAGGTTTTCCTATTTGAAAACAATGAAAAGTTTAGATCAGATAATCTGTAAATTCCTTCCAATTAAAACATTGTCCAGTGGAAGAGTAAGGTAAAAGCCAGATTATGTCATGTTATGAAGGAAGTAGATACTGAGAAAATGAAAGCAGCTATAAGACAAGAGAAGTAGGACAGAAGGAAGTGGCATGATTAGGTGAAAAGCCCTTTAAAAAAACTAGAACATAAGGACATAAAAGAAAAAAACAAAATTATTGTTTGTTTATTCTATGACAGGTTATTTTCACACTGTGCTTATATTGTAGGCTTTGCCAATGAAAGAAAATCGTATCTAAACTTTAAAATATTCACTTTTGGGATAACTGGTTTATGTACAGAGCAAAATATTTCTGTAATTATTAGTCAAACAAGCATGAAAGTAAAATGCAGAAAAAAAACAAAACACTTTAAAATGTATACCTCCGGGGCCGGTCGCGGTGGCTCACGCCTGTAATCCCAGCACTTTGGGAGGCCGAGGGGGGTGGATCATGAGGTCAAGAGATCGAGACCATCCTGGTCAACATGGTGAAACCCGGTCTCTACTAAAAATACAAAAAATTAGCTGGGCATGGTGGCGCGTGCCTGTAATCGCAGCTACTCAGGAGGCTGAGGCAGGAGAATTGCCTGAACCCAGGAGGCAGAGGTGGCGGTGAGCCGAGATCGCGCCATTGCACTCCAGCCTGGGTAACAAGAGTGAAACTCCGTCTCAAAAAAAAAAAAATGTACACCTCCTTCTGCAAATCCTTTCCTCCCAACTATCCTTTAATGTCTGTGGTTGAAAATAGAGGCAAGGAGCGGGAGCTAATTTTCTTGATCATTTCATCCTGGTTCATAGTGCAGTTCCTGAGCCAGTTCCTGAGAACTGCAGGTGGGAGTGGGCTGGGGTGAGAAGGACAAGACAGGAATGGTACGAAGTCCCTTTTCTTTCTTAATCCTACTTGAGCCAACTCTGCTGTCTTCACTTATCTCTGGATAGAGGGAGATGAGAAGGAAAAGAAGAGATAAAAAATGTACTGACTGCCTCCTTTATGCTTGGCTCTGTAATCTTTTCTACTTTCATTTCAGTTACAAGAAGGACAACTTGCTCTTCTTTTGTAGCCACCTACAATTTATTCTCACTTAAGCTGGGCCCTCCAGCTTGTGCCTGAATTTTCCAGGCTACCAAGATTTCACATTTCTAGAACTTTTCTGGGGTTGAATCTACTACAATAGTCCTAGGTGATCCTATAGAGATTGTCTTGCCTTTCTTTTTTTCTTTTTTTGAGACAGGGTCTTACTCTGTCGCCCAAGCTGGAGTACAGTCGCATGATCTTGGCTCACTACAACCTCTGTCTTCCGGGTTCAAGCCATTCTCCTGCCTCAGCCTCCCAAGTAGCTGGGATTACAGGCATGCACTATCTTGAATAATTTTTGTATTTTTATTATTTATTTGGTTGAGACGGAGTCTCGCTCTGTCTTGCCCAGGCTAGAATGCAGCAGCACAATCTCGGCTCACTGAAGCCTCTGCCTCCCAAGTTCAAGCGATTCTTCTGTCTTAGCCTCCCAAGTAGCTGGGATGTGCCACCACACCTGGCTAATTTTGTATTTTTGCTAGAGACAGGGTTTCACCACGTTGGCCAGGCTTGTCTTGAATTCCTGACCTCAGGTGATCCACCAGCATTGGCCTTCCAAAGTGCTGAGATTATAGGTGTGAGCCACAGCATCCAGCCTTTTATTTTTTATTTTTGAGACAAGGTCTCGCTTTGTTGCCCAGGCTGGAGTTCAGTGGCACAATCTTGGCATACTGCAACCTCTACCACCTGGGTTCAAACCACTCTCTTGCCTCAGCCTCCCCAGTAGCTGGGATCACAGGCATGTGCCGCCACACCCAGCTAATTTTTGTATTTTTAGTAGACATGGGATTTCACCATGTTGGAGAAGCTGATCTTGAACTTCTGGCCTCAAGCGATCCTCCTGCCTTGGCCTCCCAAAGTGTATTGCAATTATAGGTGTGAACTACCATGCCTGGCCTGCCTTGCCTTTTAAAAAAAGTTAGTATCTCCCCTTTTCTATTCATTCACCTTATTTCTAGATCATTTCTATGTAGGTAAGCCAGTGGCCACTGACATGATACATCTGAATTAATTTTATAATAAATAGAATGAAACACTGTATTATAGAAGTGATCTTCCCAAGGTATTTGCTTTTTCTTCTCTCTCTTTCTCTCTCTCTCTCTCTTTTTTTTTAAGGCAGAGTTTTGCTCTTGTTGCCCAGACTGGGGTGCAATGGTGCGGTACTGGCTCACTGCAACCTCTGCCTCCTGCGTTCAAGCGATTCTCCTGCCTCCGCTTCCCAAGTAGCTGGGATTACAGGTGCACACCACCATGCCCGGCTAATTTTTTGTATTTTTTAGTAGAAATGGTGTTTCACCATGTTAGCTACAGCTGGTCTCAAACTCCTGACCTCAGGTGATCCGCCTGCCTCAGCCTCCCAAAGTACTGGGATTACAGATGTGAGCCATCAAGCCCAGCCATTTTTTATATTTTTTAGTAGAGACGAAGTTTCACCATGTTGACCAGATTGGTCTCAAACTCCTGACCTCAGGTGATTCACCCACCCCGGTCTCCCAAAGTGCTGGGATTACAGGAGTGAGCCACCGCACCCAACCTTTCTCTTCTCTTTAACATTCAATTCAAATCATGAGAAAATACATTATCTGAACTAATTTCAAATAGTCTTTCTGTGGTCATATTTAGAATTTAAATGTTTCTTGTTATGGGTGTCAAATAGGAAATCTTGTTCTCATCCACCTACTCTATCCTTTTAACTGTTCGTATAAGGAAACAAAACACATAGATGACATCTTTCTATTAGTACCTGAACAATGCCTACAGTCTAAACAGATTAGCAGGAAGAAATAGGTTCTAGAAACTGGGAGGAAACAGTAGCTTCATGAAACCTGACATATTTCACTAGGTGCTAATGTATCTTTCTTTCATATTTATTTGGAAATGGAATTTGTTCTTCTACAAGTAATCAAAGTACTCATTTCTGAATGGGAAGTAAAAGAATTGTAAACGGTCATAGTTGCCTTTTAACTGAAAAGAAAGAAGGACATAGTAACTCAGTTTCTATGGAAAAGGGTCACACTTATCAAACAAAAAGCAGTTGACGACAGGCAAATCTGTATCTTCTACCAGGAAACCGTGAGAACCCAATTTTAAGAAACCTTGTGAAAGCACAGACCTGATACTTACCATATATGCACTTTCATACACAGAAGGTGGCAAGATTTTAAGAAAGATAATCATTTTAATTGCTGGTAATATCTCTTTATGTTTTCTCTCTGGAGAAAAGCTATATTTCTAATTTTAAAACAATGTATGAAAATTTAAGTCATAAATATTTAAATGATGGCATCAGGCTAACCTTAGATCATAAATATCCAAGGATAATCTGGCAAATCTTAATAACTCTTATTCCCTAGTGTGCTTCTTTAAAACAAAAATTTTAAAGCACATCAACAGGCCTTTGTGAAGCCAAACAGATCCCAAGCCCACCTCTTCATGAACATTCAGGAAGACACTACACTAAAGATGTTTGTTTCTGATCACCAAGTAGAATTTCCCTCATGGGAGTCTATTAGGTTGTTCTGAATTTGTAATTTCCTTGAAGCACTGTCACTTTTAATAGGTATGTGTCTTGCCAGAATATGCTCACTTCATTCTGACAGTGACAGAAAGCTCATTAATGAAGCAGTCTGACCAGTTTCTTTCTAAAAGTACGAAGAAAGGAAAAACTGCCTTTAAAAGGCTACATATTATACATAATGTCGTTCACTAAATAATAAATTCAAAAATTGTCATTTTTGCTTTGATAGTTCTGAAAACCACTACAGATAAAGGAGCTTTACACATCTGCTTTGCCCTTTCATCTTCATTTACCTGTCAGGATGAACAGAAGAGAGCACAAAGACAAGGAGAATGACATCCAGGATTCCATCTGGAAAAGGGTAAGGTAAGCCATCATCACATACATCATGAACAAAGGCAAAACACTGGGCTGCTCTGTAGGACGAGTGTGACTGTCATGATAAAGGAACAGAAAGCAAAAAGAGGAGTTAGTAGACTTCCGGGATTTTTTTTTTTTTTTTTTAAATAAAAAGGTCAAAATTTTAACCTTTTCTCCCAAAAGCCTTTCCTCTGTCAATCTGAACACTTTTTTCCAATTCAGTATTGTTAGCTTATTTCAAGCTGCCCTAAAAATATTAAGGCTAGCCCTTGGCCTTGATAAGAAATATCCTTCACAATCCCTCTTTAACTTTAAAAGTGGAAGGAGGGTAGGGTTTCTGAGTTAGCAGGTAGAGTAGTTAGAGGCCTGCTCTGGGTTGCTGTTTCTGAACTTAAAGAAGTTCTGTTTGGACAACAATAATTCACGGGCAGCCATACATTCTGAATTTTGTAAGTCAGTACCCTCTCTGGTCATTTCTTGTATGCTGTTGGCTTTTCTAGTGATCTTTTTTCCTGAGATGAAGTCTCGCTCTGTAGCCCAAGCTGGAGTACAGTGGCATGATCTCTGCTCACTGCAACCTCTGCCTCCTGGGTTCAAAAGAGTCTCCTGCCTCAGCCTCTTGAGTAGCTGGGACTGCAGCAGTGTGCCACCACACCCAGCTAATTTTTTATTTTTAGTAAAGACAGGGTTTCACCATGTTGGCCAGGCTGGTCTGGAACTCCTGACCTCAGGTGATCCACCCACCTTGGCCTCCCAAAGTGTTGGGATTACAGGCATGAACCACTACACCGGGCCTCTAGTGATCTTAAAATCAAAACAACTTTTATTGTTCTAGGGTAATACCACAGGCATTAGTCGGTATGATTCCCGGGAGTAGCATACCTTTACGAGCTCCACAGCTCCAGAAGCAAAATCACAACAATAAAGAAAGGACTCTGGAGAGTTCCTATGAAGATGGAAGAAATATTTATTTGTTTATTAGAGACAGGGTCTTGCTCTGTTGCCTAGGTTGGAGTGTAGTAACGTGACCATAGCTACCTATAACCTTGAGCTCCTGGGCTCTAGCGATCTTCCTTCCTCAGCCTCCTGAGTGGCTAGGACTACAGATGTGCCCTACCATCCCCAGCTAATTTAAAATGTTTCTGCAGAGATGGAGTCTCACTATGCTGCCCAGGTTGATCTTGAACTATTGTTCTCAAATGATCCTGCCTCAGCCTCTCAAACTGTTGGGATTATAGGTGTGGGTCACTGTGGTTGGCCAGAAGAAATATTTAAATCTGGAGTCCAGATATGCTCAAACTAGAGAAGAAAGGAAACTATAGGTTTGACTTGTTAATAAGTATTTTCACCCTCCCCACGCCGGCTTTGTTTTGAAACAGAGTCTCACTCTGTCACTCAGGCTGGAGTGCAGTGGCACAATCACAACTCACTGCAGCCTTAACCTCTGGGGCTCAAGTGATTCTCCCGCCTCAACCTCCTGAGTAGCAAGAACTACAGATGAATGCCACTGTTCCTGGACAATAGGCAGTATGATTTTTAATTGGCTTCTCCTCAAGTTAAATGTGTTCTGTTTGGTCTTTATTTGAAATTCAGTAATGATGGCTGGACCATGGTTACTTAAGGCAGCCATATACTCTGAATTTTGTAGGCCCATACTCCTGCTGATGATGTTGTGTATGCTGGTATCAAATAACCCTTGCATCATGTTGCTTAGTACCATGTCTGAATCATAGAAAGAGGTCAGCATGTCATAAAACAGTGAGGATGGTCCTGGGTCTCATAGGTTTTATAGTCTAGTTGGGGACATAATTGGTTTTATACAACTTCTACAGGGGTATGGAGAGGGCTGGCACCCTGAGGTATAAGTCTTAAAAGTTCTGAAGGAAGAGGATGACATTATTAATTGAGGAGAAGGGAAATGGTTGAAGAGTTTAGAGGTGGGAGTCACATGCCAGGGATGAGAAGTAGCACTAATCCTGAGACCCAAATTGTATATGGCAGAATATAAAGGTGGGCCTTGAAGCGTATCATTAAGACTTCTAATCTGACTCAAGAGGTATTCCAAGCAAGGTGAACTTCTAAAGTTTTCTAAATAAGTAAATATGGAATATAAGCCCAAATATGCATTTAGCAAAATCTGACCCAAAATCTGGTTATATGGTTTTTATATATATATATATATATTTTTTTTTTGGTTGGGGGTATGGCGTTTTGCTCTTCTTGCCCTGGCTGGAGTCCAATGGCACGATCTCAGCTCACTGCAGTCTCTGCCTCCTGGGTTCAAGCAATTCTCTCATCTTAGCCTCCCAAGTAGCAGGGATTACAGGCATGCTCTACCACGCCCAGCTAATTTTGTACTTTTAGTAGAGACGGGGTTTCACCATGTTGGTCAGGCTGGTCTCAAACTCATGACCTCAGGTGATCCGCCCACCTGGGACTCCCAAAGTGGTGGGAATTACAGGCGTGAGCCACTGTGCTTGGCCTCAGATTATATTCTTAAAGGCAACTCATTGATGAATAACTATGCTCACCCATAATTCACTCATTCTGTGGCACTAGAGATTTGCATTCAATTTAAGATCTATCCAAATAAGTTAAAGTATGACGAATAGGATTTGGTTATGAAAAGCTAACCAGTACTGAACCAAAGTTAAAACTTGTACTGCTTGGTCTTTTCTCATCCGTCTCACATAAAAATAGCACTTTACTTCAGCATATTCCCCTGTTGTTTCCTATGAAATCCACGTAATTGTGACCTGTAATTTGCTGGGTGGTTTGAAATGCATTTGAAATGTTCTCAGGAAACACTCAGATACCTATAGCACTATGTGGCTAATGGTTAAGGGCAAGGGCTTTGGAACCAGACTGCCTAAGGTTTGATTCTCAGCTTTACTATTTAGTTGCGTGACCTTGGGCTAGCTGCTTAATCTCTTCTTTAATTCAGTTCCCTCCTCTTTAAAAAAGAGATAAACATGGCATCTCAGGTGGTTGTTTGAACTGAATGGATTCTTTTTTTTTTTTTTTAATCCTTCCTAACATATTCTATCACATGAATGGATTCTTATAGCTAAAGTTTCCAGAAAGGTGCCTGACTCAGAGTAAGCACTCAATAAATGTTAGTCATTATTATAATTGTTGTTGCTATTATTATCACTATTATTATTAAAAGAGATTGCTTTTGCCTTCCAGGAACTTAAAAACTAACATTGCCCTCTAAAAACAAACAACAACAACAAAAACAAAAGGCTTCCATATAGCTCAAAATGCTTTTCTGGACACTGGTATGTCTAGCTCATTATAAAAGGTCTGCAGTCTACTTTTGGGCAGTAGTTACCAAATACCCATAGATACAGAACAGCATAGGAGCTAAAGGAAAGCATGTGCCATTTGCCATGTGTCCTGCCAAGGTGGCAGCATGACCTCTGAGATGGAATTCCTACAGTAAAAGCAGCCCAAGTTGATGTCTTGTGACCACCCAATGATTTTCAGAACCTTTCTGTAAAATCAGCTGACTACCTTGGCCCTTCTCCCAGCAAACAGGTAAATATCACTACTACCACCACACCACCAGTCTCTTGGCAGGGGGTTTATGAATTAAATGATCCTTGGAGAATGATATGACCTCTCCATTTCAGAGGTCTAATTATGGTAAAATATTCTGAAAATGTAAAACATTAATCCTATACTCTCTAAAAGTAGTAAAACATAATTTCTTGAGCAGAAAAAAAAAATGTCTAATCATCCCTTTGGAAGGCTAATCACTGGTTGCTTTTTAAAAATGAATTAATTATCTCAGGTTATTGAGATACAGTGATTTCTGAAACACGGGTATGAGGCAAAGAAAGATACAGCCAAGAAGAGTTAGGGAGTGAGGAACCAAGAGCTTGCAATTGTAAGTTGAAGGGAGAAGCAGAGAGGGGAAAAATACAACTAGCAAGTGGAGGAATCAGAGATATTAATCAGTCAGTATATATTGAGCTCTAATTATGCTGTACTGTTAGGCAACCTGGGAAATCAGATTAGGGTAAAATATGCCCGCTACCTTAAGGAATATAAAAAATGGTTGGAGAGACAAGGAAGGCATAAAGAAATGACATGCTAAATAATATTTTGAGATCTGTCATAAAGTAACACACAGTCAACTGCCAATGTATATTTATGTGGATCATAAGCTTAGAGATCACTAGGGTAAAGAAATATAGCTATGTGGCATAAGGAAATTGGAAATTTCAGCCCAGAAATTAGAAAAAGAAAAACAAAACTGATAAATACACAAAGAGAAAGGGCATCCAAAACTATACATTTACCAGCATCACCCATGCCTGGCCACATTAGCTGGTTATTAAATGATAATAAGGAATCACTCGCTATTCATTATGTTAGGTTTATAATAATATAGAGAGTATACTGAATTTTGGGAGACACATCCTGAATAATCCAAGATAAAGTGTCATGATGTTGGCATTATATTGATAACTGTTGAACTGAGGTGGTGGGCATATGGACATTCATTATACTCTTTGCTTTTCTGAATGCCTTTTATATTTATATTTATTTTTTTGCAGGGCACGGTGGCCCGTGCCTGTAATCCCAGCAGTTTGGGAGGCTAAGGAGGGCAGATCACAAGGTCAGGCATTTGAGACCAGCCTGGCTAACATAGTGAAACCCCATCTCTACTAAAAATACAAAAAAAAAAAAAAAAAAAAAAATTAGCCAGGCGTGGCGGCAGATGCCTGAAATCTCAAAATAAAAATTTTTTTGAGACAGTCTCTTGCTTTGTCACCCAGGCTGGAGTGCAGTGGTGTGATCTCGGCTCACTGAAACCTCCACCTCCTGGGTTCAAGTGATTCTCCTGCCTCAGCCTCCTGAGTTGCTGGGATTACAAAAGTGTGCACCACCACACCCAGCTACTTTTTGCATTTTTAGTGGAGATAGGGTTGGTTTCACCATGTTGGCCAGGCTGGTATCAAACTCCTGACCTCAAGTGATCCGCCTGCCTCGTCCTCCCAAAGGGATTACGGGCGTGAGCCACTGCACCAGGCTCTGGATGCTTTTAAATTTTCATAATGAAAAGTTTAGAAGATCACATCATTTAAAAATATGCATGAAAACTGAAAGGAATTAAAAATTTTGTCGGTGGCTATGTTAGGATGATGGGGATGATGACTGATTCCCTCCCTCCCCTTTTCCTCTAATAGAAATGTTCTGCAATGTGCTAATGCTGGTTTTATAGTGGAAAAATAATGTGAATGCTATTGTGTAAACTTAAAAAAGAATAGAGCTTGGCAGATTGGCCATAGATAAAAGGTGTTTGAAGAGTTTTGTGTCTTCATCATGCAAACAGTACAAGACAGGAGTGAAATGGTGAACAGGAAGGGCGAGCCTGGAGCAGCACATCTCTGTTGCTATAACCGACCTCTGCTTTTTTGAGTAGTAGGATTAGTTGCTGCTACCTCCAAACAATTTTAAGCCTAGACACAATGATTTGGCATGCAAACATCTTACACAGGGTGTTGCTTCAGAGGGGATGATTAAATGAAGGTTAAGTTGTAAGCTTTAAATTCAGCCGGGCGCGGTGGCTCAAGCCTGTAATCCCAGCACTTTGGGAGGCTGAGACGGGTGGATCACGAGGTCAAGAGATCGAGACCATCCTGGTCAACATGGTGAAACCCCGTCTCTACTAAAACTACAAAAAATTAGCTGGGCATGGTGGCGCGTGCCTGTAATCCCAGCTACTCAGGAGGCTGAGGCAGGAGAATTGCCTGAACCCAGGAGGCGGAGGTTGCGGTGAGCCGAGATCGCGCCATTGCACTCCAGCCTGGGTAACAAGAGCGAAACTCCGTCTCAAAAAAAAAAAAAAATAAAATAAATAAATTCAATTCTCTATGTGTAAAATGACATCTAAGAGTCCAAGAGGAGTAAACAATCTCTGAAGTTTAGCAGTCCACAGCTCAGTGGAAGGATGAAATCGCTTCCTCTTAGTTTTTTTTTGGAGATGGAGTTTCATACTTGTTGCCCAGACTGGAGTGAAATGGTGCAGTCCCGGCTCACTGCAACCTCCGCCTCCCATGTTCAAGCAATTCTCCTGCCTCCGCCTCCCAAGTAGGTGGGATTATGGAGATGCCGCCACCATGCTCGGCTAATTTTGTATTTTTAGTAGAGGTGGGGTTTCAACATGTTGGTCTCTCTGGTCTCTAACTGCTGACCTCAGGTGATCCATCTGCCTCAGCCTCCCTGAGTGCTGGGATTATAGGTGTGAGCCACCATGCCTGGTTCGCTTCCTCTTTTTTTTTAATCCTCTCACCCATATATACACGAGCTTAAAGAATTACTTCAAAAGGCTGGGTGAGGTGGCTCACACCTGTAATCCCAGCACTTTGTTCGAGACCAGCCTGACTAACATGGAGAAACCCTGTCTCTACTAAAAATACAAAATTAGCCAGGCATGGTGGCGTACGCATGTGATCACAGCTACTGGGGAGGCTGAGGCGGCAGAATCGCTTGAATCTGGGACGCGGAGGTTGCCGTGAGTCGAGATCGCGCCGTTGCACTCCAACCTAGGCAGCAAGAGCGAAATATCGTTTCAAAAAAAAAAAAAAAAAATTACTTCAAAACAATGGTGGACAACCCGTGGCTATGAAAAGCTATTTTCAGAGTAATTCCCAGTTCACATGAAAGTAGACAGTTGGTTAAGACATTTCTTTTGAAAACTGCTTGAGCCATTGTTCTTATAAGAATTAGAAACAGTATTGGCATACACATAACAGTATTTTCCCAGAATGTCTCAACATTCCATAAATATGTAAAATTCTAAAGGAAAAAAACTCAAAAAACTCACTGCAAAGTGTTCAAAATTGGAAAAACACTATTTCCAGCTCCACAACCAACCTAAAATCAAAAGAACAAGCAAATATCAAAAAAGCAAGGTTAAATTTTTGTCATTGATGTCAGATTTTCTATTAAAAAAATGATAAGAAACTTACTGGATCTCTGGGTACAGCAGAGTTTTCTAAACACAAAAGCAATGAAATAAATTACAGGAATAACACTAAGAAATCGGACTATGAAAACATTTAAAATTTTTACACACCAAAACCCAAAATAAACCAAATTAAAAAATAACAATACACTGTGAAAAAACCTGCAATAAATATGATAAAGGGCAAGACTCATTAGAAAAAAAATGGATAAGCAGAGAAAATAAATGGACAGAACACAAAAGAAGTACAAAATATTCTAAACCTTTGAAGAAGTATGTGGCCTACTCAGTAATCAAAGAAATGCATATTAAAATAAGGTACAATTTTTGTCTAACAAAGTGGAAAACATTAAGAATATTTCAATCAATAAGGGTGTGATGAAACAGACATATACCATCATGGAATGGTATTAGTACAACTTCTTGGAAAGCAACTGGGCAATATGTTTTAAGAGTATTAAAAATCTTCATAAATTATGAACTAGAAAATCTAACCTAAAACAATAAAAGAAAATGCAGCTAAAGTCTATACCCAAAGACGTTTGGTTCAGAAAATCCGAAAACAATTAAAATGTCCAGTAGTGTGAAAATAGATAAGTAAAACTATAGTACTCCACATATTTTGTAGCCATGAAAGTATTTATAGAGAATTTTTAAAGACAGTGAAAACTGCTTATGATACCATGTTAAATAGAAACAAACAAAACCCAAAATACATGTACAATATATAAACAAAAGAAGAAAAAGGTCAGCTGGGCGCGGTGGCTCATGCCTGTAATCCCAGCACTTTGGGAGGCTGAGGTGGGCGGATCACCTTAGGCCAGGAGTTCAAAACCAGCCTGGCCAACATGGCGAAACCCTGTCTCTACTAAAAATACAAAAAAAATTAGCTGGGTGTGGTGGCGGGAGCCTGTTATCCCAGCTACTCTGGAGGTTGAGGCAGAACTGCTTAAACCCGGGAGGCAGAAATTGCAGTGAGCCAAGATGGCACCATTGCACTCTAGCCTGGGTAACAAGAACAAAAAAAAAAAAAAAAAAAAAAAAAAAAAAAAAAAAAAAAAGAAGAAGAAAAAGGAGGTCAGTAAAATGCTAATAGTGGTTAAATCCTTTGTTTGTAGGATTGTCGATAAGTTATCTCCTCATTAGCAAATTCTCTCTCTCTCTAATCAATATACATGCCTTTATAATCAGAAAGACAGGGTTTAGTTTTATAAATAAAAGACCAAGGTCTACACCAGATTATCGCAAATTATATATCTCACTTATTTCCGTTTCACCTAAAAAGGGGTAATAAGAAACAGAGTAAAAATTAAGGCCAAAACTTAATTGGTACTTAAAACGGCCCTGAGATTAAAATGAAAACAGACAATTTTTTTTAAAAAAGCAACAAAACCAAATTTAAACCACAAGCTTAAAACTTGACTGATTAAAGACATGAGTCCCTTAAATATTATTTATGCACAAAAGTATACTGAATGCTTAGATTTGATAATTTTCCACCAAAAATTCTGTATTAATAATACAGAATATACATTTTCATATTATTTGTCACCTCCTATTTTTGTCCCTTGAACACAGTACCTCTAGTATCCTGAAACTGGCATTGCTACCAGGAAACAATTCAGTCTTCATAGGTCCTTTTTTGTGTTTTTCAGAGTCTAGGTTGGAAAAATCAGATTCTGTTTTGCTTTGACCTTCTGAAGAGCCAGAACTTTTCACATAATGACTTTTTTCTTCAGGCACAGTAGGACAGTCCATTCTTGAGAAACAATTTGTAGCACTAGTTTTTACATGATCCCATGACGATTCTCTTGCCTTCTCTTCAGTTTTTTGATCAAATGGAAGAATTTCAGGAAATTCCCTCAACAGCCAATTACGATCCTTGAAAAACTTATTCTTATGAATCTTGTAAAATGTGTCCCAGTATTTACTAGCTTCTCTCTCAAACTTAACTAAAATAAAGAAAAAGAAAAAAGATTTTACTATGAATTATATTTACCATTAGCTACTATTTTGATAATTATTGTTAAACATATATACATTATCATTTATAACAATTATATTTACTAGTGAATAGCTTTAATATTATAATATCTTAATTTATCTGATAAAAGGTTAAAAATACAGAGCTTTAATTCTCTCAGAATGTGTCAGTGTGTGCGATATTTAGTCCTACCCATGTAAATCTGCTTCTGTCTTAACAGTTTAGCCAATAAATTTTTGTGAGGAATATAAATCATTGCAAACAATTTCTAAGTCTAATTTTGTTATCTTAACAATCACATTGTTACCAATAACCTGTGTGGTTTTTTTTTATTATCTTAAAGAAAGGATGAGGGCTGGGCAAAGTGACTCACACCTGTAATCCCAGCACTTTGGGAGAATGAGGTGGGCAGATCACTTGAGGTCAGGAGTTCAAGACCAGCCTGGTCAACATGTTGAAACCCCATCTCTACTAAAAACACAAAAATTAGATGTGTGTGGTGGTGGAAACCTGTAATTGCAGCTACTCAGGAGGCTGAGGCAGGAGAATTGCTTGAACTCGGGAGGAGGAAGTTGTAGTGAGCAGAGATCGTGCCATTGCACTCCAGCCCGGGTGACAGAGCAAGACTCCGTCTCAAAAAAGAAAAAAAAAAAAAAGATGAAAAAGGATGAGCCTAGTGCAGTGGCTCATGCCCTGTAGTTCTCAGGAGGCTGGGGCAGGACTGCCTGAGCCTAGGAGTTTGAGGTTGCAATGAGCAATGATTGTGCCACTCTCCAGCCTGGGCGACACAGTGAGACCCTGTCTCAAAAATAAATAAATAAAAATAAAAAAGAAAGGACACCTCGTTTTTTTTTTTTGAGACAGAGTTTCACTCTTGTTACCCAGGCTGGAGTGCAATGGCGCGATCTCGGCTCACCACAACCTCCGCCTCCTGGGCTCAGGCAATTCTCCTGCCTCAACCTCCTGAGTAGCTGGGATTACAGGCACGCGCCACCATGCCCAGCTAATGTTTTGTATTTTTAGTAGAGACGGGGTTTCACCATGTTGACCAGGATGGTCTCGATCTCTTGACCTCGTGATCCACCAGCCTCAGCCTCCCAAAGTGCTGGGATTACAGGATTGAGCCACCGCGCCCGGCTAGGACACCTCATTTTTAATGTATTTACAAATACAATTTCAGCATAACAAATGTGCAAATTGGTGATCAGACAGGAAATTTCAAAATTATAGGCAATATAATTTAAGAGCTAAAAGGGTCCATTGGAAAAATTTACTCCAACCCCCCTTTTTGCATTTGAAGAAAGGACCTAAACCCACTTGTTCCAAGTCCTAGAGCCCTATCACAGTGAAATGGTGGCCATGTCTCCTGACTCTTGGAGTCTGAAGGCCATCCTGTAACTCCATTCTTCCCCCAACCTCCAAGGCATCTCTTCCTATTGACATCTCCCAACATGAAGACTTAAAGAAAATTTCTGATGCTCTTAAAACAACTATGCAGTTTATGATGCCATCCTAGAGTCAGGGTTAGGTCAACAGTCTCAGAGCTTCAGGTAATTTTTAGCTTTCTGCCTCTTCCTATTTGTACCTTAAATTAATAAAGCAATTCACTCTCTCCCTCATTTAATCAACAAGCATTGCTTTTTTTTTTTTTTTTTGCATTTTCAGTAGAGACAGGGTTTCACTATGTTGGCTAAGTTGGTCTTGAACTCCTGACCTCAAGTGATCTGTGTGCCTCGGCCTCCCAATATTGGGATTATAGGTGTGAGCCACTGTGCCTAGCACATTACTTACCTGCTCCTTTTCTTTTCCGTATTCTCGGAGTGCTACAGGAAATAACAATTTCTTTAGTGCTACTATGTAATAGGCTTAATCCACGCATTAGAATTACTTTAACCTGCTGTAGACACATGCCATTTTTAAAGTGCTTTCAAAGAATGCAAAAGTGTTCTTTCTAGGAATACAGAATAATTTCCAAGATTTGGTGTTAGGTGAAAAAGCAAGGTATATAACAGTGTCTATATTTTGTAACCACTCATTAAAATAGGAAAATACATGTGTATAGTTACATAGAAACATTCATGTACACACACACACACACACACACACACACACACACACACACACACTTTCTCTCTCTCTCTCTCTCTCTTACTTGTAGAATGTATGAAATAATTCTGGAAGGATAATTACATAATCAGTAATACTGGTTGCCTCTCGGGAGAGGAAAGGAGTGGCTGGGGACCACAGTTGGGAAGGAGAATTTTCATTTGCATTTTGATCCGTATGAATTTACTATATATTCCAAAAATAAACTAAAAATAAAAATAAGAGATGCATTTCCTTCATAATTCTAAAGAAGCCCCTACTCAGAACAGGCAGTTGCCTGTAATCAGGTTTATCTTTGTTACAGAGCCTGGTCCTGAGGCCCTTATAGTTTTAATTTTCTTCTTTCCAATTTTATCTTTATGGCCTTGTACATGGATCTCCACCCATCTGGCCACAAGACTTCCTTCCCATCAAGGCTGAATTGTATCTGGCAGCAGGACTGCTATAAAGACTGAAACTCCTGTCTGTATTTAACGTCTGAGAAATGAAAGTGGATCTCTGTAACAAAAGAATTATGTGATGTTAAGTCCAAAACATGCTCACCTCTGCACTAATGGTGAGAAATCTATTTATGGTTAATCTAACCTATAAATTTGTCTTTTAAATAGTTCTATCTCTACCTTTTTTCCATCTTTTTCGATAACTTTAGCATATCTCCACTTTAAAAAATTGGAGTATGCCTGATATACCGTGTAAGAAAACAAAATAACACTCTGAAAGTCAGACTCAGGAGAAATTATAAAAGAGTCAAATTTCCCCAGGGTCTTCTCAAGCCTTCCTTCCTTTCTTTACCTTAAAAAACTCTCTTTGTAACTCATTCCATGCAATTAAAAGATTTTCTGCCTAACAAAAAGCAGCCACCTAAGAAGACCCATATTTAGTGAAATCTCTAGTATTTGAGTTTACAATATCAAGCTACTTGTGAAGTGAGTTTAAGCCTAATTACCAGTAACTAGAATGTACTGTAATACTATATCTTAATTAATTTGTGGGACTATCCCTCTAGGAATTAACTGGGGTAGGGGAATTGCAGGGGAGTAACCTAATAAAAGATGTGCATAGCGGCCAGGCGTGGTGGTTCAGGCCTGTAATCCCAACACTTTGGAAGGCCCAGGCAGCAGGACTGCTTGAAGCTTAGAATTCAAGACGAGCGTGGACAACAAAGCAGGACCCTGTCTCCACTTTTTAAAAAAATGTGTATAGCAGTTCTATTTATTTATTGAGACAAAGTCTTGCTCTGTCACCAGGCGCCAGGCTGGAGTACAGTGGCATGATCTCAGCTCACTGCAATCTCTGCCTCCAGGGTTCAAGCAATTCTCCTGCCTCAGCCTCCTGAGTAGCTGGGGCTGCAGGCACGTGCCACTGCACCCAGCTAATTTTTGTATTTTTTAGTAGAGACTGGGTTTCACCATGTTGGCCAGGATGGTCTCAACCTCTTGACCTCATGCTCTGCCCGCCTTGGCCTCCCAAAGTGCTGGGATTATAGGCGTGAGCCACCACACCCGGCCAGCAGTTCTATTTATATTAGGAAAAAGTGGGGAAAACTCAAATGCCCAACAACATGGGAATGAGCAAGCAAACCATGCAGTTCAAACAGGGTAACTTTATGTAGCAATTTTAAAATAAAGGATAATAGGCTGGGCGTGGTGGCTCATGCCTGTAATCCCAGTTACTCGGGAGTCTGAGGCAAGAGAATCGCTTGAACTTGGGAAGCGGAGACTGTGGTGAGGTGGGATCATGCCATCGCACTCCAGCCTGGGTAACAAGAGTGAAACTCTGTCTCAAAAAGATAAATAAAAATAAACAAATAAATACAGGATAATAATATTAAGAGAAAATACACAGAATAGTATATACATTGATGGCAGCTCTAAAATTTATTTGATAGGCATTCATAACAATCAGATGAAAATTTGAAGCAATGGTAACAATTTAATCATTATTAGGTACCTCTTTCTTTTTGCAAAGCTGTATCTACTTCTCACACAAAGATAAAGAATCTTAGCTGAATTCTTCATTCAAATTGCCTAGAGTTTCCTCATTTGATCAAGAGTTTGAATTAGAGTAGTATCTCTAAAGTCTGTTTAAGCTCTAAAAATTCTGTGTACTTTCCTATTAAGACCCATGAATTTATGGAGAACATTGAACATTATCAGTTCTACAAACTCCAAAATCTTGGATCAGATTGCTGTTTTAAACATGAGTCTGTACTACTGTTTTAATTTTTACAATTTAAAGACAAAATGAATCTGTAGTGACGTGACTGCAATCTGGTTCAGAAACCAAACATGTCAAACATCTAAATTCAACTCTAGCCTATGTAATCTATAAAAATAACTTGATTACTATTAGTAAATGATAGGGTTTGCTAATAAAAAGAAATCAGATAATTACATAAATTATACCATTAACAGTAGCATTAAAAATAACAACAATAACACATATTAAATGTTTATTATGGGCTACACACTATGTCAAATGCTTTACTTGGATTTTTTCCCCCTATTTAATCCTAGCAGTATCTCTCAGATAGATTTTATTATTCCAATTGCAGAGAAAAAAAATTCAATGTCAGAGGGAATAAAGAATTTCCCCAAGGTCACCCAGCCAGAAAGAGTAGAGAGAGTCACGTCTGCTAAACTCTAAAGCCCATGCTCTCACCCATTACAACACAGTCAGTATCAATCCCCTCCAAAATAATTCTGAAAATCATCTCTGCTTTTCTGATTTGTACTTTCTTCTCAATTATGAAGTATCAAGTTGAAATTAAAACCTCAGTGTGGCTTACAATCAGCATAAATACATTGTAGAAATAATGCTGATTGGAGTTACCCTTCATTAAGACAGATCAGAAATACATAA